TCCTCCCTCGAATGATCTGATGGAGGCTGTCCCCCTCCCCCTCGCGAAGCCACAGGATTTCGACGTCGTTTTAAGTCCTTGTGGATGGAGGAGGAGGAAAGGGTGTAAGCAGCCGTGGCCCCCCACTGGGGAGAGGGAAGAGGTGCAAATGCATTGAATAAATGCAGGGTGGCCAAACTCGCTTAACATAAGAGCCACATGGAATAAACGTCAGATGTTTGAGAGTGGCAAGACATGAACACATGTTACACAAGTTTTCATTAAAATATACAAATTTGATTTTTATTAACATTACATGAGACTGCAAACAATAAAAACAAAAAGGGTAAAAACAGGTATTGATAATGATATTTATTTGTTTGCTAATGGTATTTACTTGTCTGAGAGAGAAAGAAAGAAAGATGGAGAAAGTGGAAAGAAAGCAAATAGATGGGGGGAGAGAGGGATAAGTGGAAATAAAGCAACGTATCCTCCAAGTTCCGGGGGGGGGTTGAGAATGTTAAAGTTGCTTTCTTTCTCTGCTCCCCCCCCCCACCTCAAGCCTACCCAGGGAGGGGAATACTGACTGGGGAAGGTAAGACTGATTGGGGAGGTATGCCTCACCTTCGCTTCCCCAGCCGCCCTGCCTGGAACCGCAGAATATGTGTGAAAGAGCTGCATGTGGCTCCTGAGCCGCAGTCTGGCCACCCCTGAATAAATGCATTAAGCGTTCCTTTTGCTGGTAGGGAGAGGGCTCAATTCTTGGCTTTTCGGCTCGAGGGGGGGATAGTTAACATAACCTGTTACAGTGAGAATGGTTTGTGGCTCTTTACGAAGCTTGCGAGGTCAGGATGGCAGGAGCAGAGCGGCCTCCCAAGCTTGAGAAGCCTCTGTCCCAGACAGTCCCCCCCCCTGCGCTTTTCCTGTAGGACCCAAGCCAGGGGGAGGCTCCTTGCACCCCAGACCACCTTGATGAGTAAGGCTGGAGAAGCCAGCTTTTTCTGTCTCTGCACCAGCACTCTCCAGGGCTGTGATGGTTTTTTCCCTCCCCAGACCAAAAGGTT